AACAGAAACTCGAATTAGCAAATATTTTAAGACAAAAAAGGACGTTTAGGAGAAGAATTAACACCATGAAGCTCGTATGTGTAAGAAAGGATACTCAGGAACCGTGAGTTATAATTAGGGATGTAACTGTACAATCTCCACTGTCTGTGCTACTCGTCATGTATTTCTATATGAAGAATAATAATCATAATAGAAACATTTATACTCACCTGGACAATAACCAACCATAATTAGATTCATTCAAGCCAAAACGCCTGTCGTCCAGTCATTTTTAAAGACACCAAAATGTATTGCAAAACTTCCAAAAACATGATATTCCTGGGCAATGGCTTCAAGAAAACCTCAATATCTTTGGCTGCCTTCCGAACTCAGAATTCCCATTTGTTTAGTTAAAACTTCCATGCTCTCAGAGTTATCAAGTAGGCTCTGAAAATCTGAAGTTTCCATGTTCTTATTTTGACATTCATTGTTGTCCTCATCGAGCTCGGCAGCTTGTACATTTTCTATCGATGGACTGGATAAAAGTTGTTCAAGCATATAATCATCACCAGATATATCTGGAAGAATAAGCTGGCCATGATTTTCGTAAGGGGGGTGTTTTCCATCCAATGGTCCTGACAAAAGATCGACATCCTCAAGAAGGTCTCTCATTTCATCGGTAGAAAAGTCAAATTCCATTACGTCTTCAGAATTTAAAAATGGGGTGGTACATGCAGGCACTAAGTCTCCATCTGTTGGTGGCTGATACCTAACTATCATTCCATCAGAAGGAGCCGGTTTACAATCATCCATATCTTTACTCAGTACATTTTTTCCAGATTCAGGCATTCGCCAGGTATTTTCTTTTGGCTGTAATAACTGGACCAGAAATCCAGGATTTTGCATAGCCATCACTATGAAAGAAAGCATCTGCTGCTGGTTCTTCTCCATACCTTTTAGCTGTTCTCTCAGGAGTACTAACTTACCGTGTGAGGTCTGCTGGTGTTGCCGTAGTTTTTTCAACTCCTGCATGAGAGCATTCTTATCAGTCTTAAGATTCTCAACTTCCTTCCACAGTTCAACAATTTTGTCTTCTTCAGATGCAAGAGAATTATCCAACTCATTCAGTTGAGAAGTTTTTTGACAAGATTTTCTTTGTACTACACCCTGAGGCTGCTTTCTCCGAGTGATGTTCTTCAGTAAATGCTTTTGGCCTTTGACAAAGGCCTCATTTGCAAATTCCCAGCGATCTGTATCTGTTTTCCTGAACCCCTGATATAATTGAAGAATAAGATACATATCAAAAAATTTTGAATCAATACAATCAGAAGAATACATGCACATGTCAACCAGAAACATACCAAGTTCCGGTTTTAGTATCCGAAAGCTCAGTTCCAATGTTATACACCAATCAACCGAATGGGCTTTGATGACTCTTAAGATTAGGCATATCGATAATCATGAAAACACAGTGTAAAGTTGCAAACTCAGTGTTCCAAAAACCAAGATATCCCTATACTTCTCAAGCTTTACTTAAGGACTTATATTCAGTAGAGAGAATTTAAACCGCAGGACATGGACCTACAAGCAGAGTTCAGAAGATGACATGAGCAAAAATTTACTCAATGCCAGCAAAATATTCACTACTATTAGTATCTTCAAAATAATCGCTAGGACCTAGGTCACATCAACTGATGTTAAATATCCAGTCCTAAATGGCAACATCGGTCGGGAAATTTATTTGCTTAGACAAATTTGACCTTCATTACTTTCCAACAGCTCTTTCAAAATGAAATGAGAAACCGAAGTTACATAAAGCAAAAAACAGATAAATAGAAACCAAATCATGAGCCTAGCTTCCAGTTGAAACATATGGAATCCAAACCAAACATGGACTAGAAACCCAAGTGACGTTAACTAGAACACACCATTATAACTTATTATGGGAACACTGATTTTGCACATTGATTTTGCCCAAAACATCAACATGATGTTTTGGGCAAAATCTACGTTCCTCGTATATTAATTCCAATGGTTAAAAGACACTTCAATGCATGTTCTTCTACATGACATGGTTAGAATGACTATAATCAGGAAAAAACCAGTGCAGACTAATAAAACTGAAACAGGTGAACTTCATGAAATAAAAACTAGTGGCAAAGAGAAAGGAAAAGGGTAAAAAGAACTGAAAGTCGAAATCCGTACAATCCATATCCAACTAGTGTGTTAATCCAGTTTCTTGCAAATTGGTAATAAACATGTAGGAATAAATTAAGGTTCTCGTGAGCGGAGAATTTTAGGAAGAGCATCCCTTTGGCAGAACACAGTGAACAATCGGTATCATTCGGCTGTAAAGGGGAAAAATTGTAAAAAGATGTACAAGAAAGCAGTTACTAGTCTGAGATCAAAGAGAGGTAGTACTACCAAATTTCCTATTAAAATAGGCTTGCATATTAGTGTTCCATTCCAAGCCTTATCCTTTAGTTTTTTAGGATAAACTTAAGAGGCATATCCAACGTCAATCTCTTGATGAACATTAAACACTGATGATATAGATTTATTCGAAGAGAATAGTAGAGAGAAATTTTTAATTAGAATTTTGGAGGAACATTGTGGAATCCAGTAGTTTAAGGCCAAGAAGAACTAAAATGGAATGCATATACGGACCTTTAGACTTAAGTGACATTGTGATTGGGAATAAAAGTTCATGTAGAGTTAAACTAAAGAATTGTGTTGCCCAAAGCTATTATTCTAGGTACTTGAATTCAATCAGATAACTGAAAAAGAAGTTGGTATAACTTAATACAAAGGATGACTGGGTTGTGTACAAAATGAAGAACTGCTAAAGGAATTTTATGAGATCACCTTACATACTAGGTTAAAAAGGAAGTTTTATAGAACAGATAAGAAAAACATATTTCCCTTCTCACAATTCCACTTCTGAAGAGCTTTTCATCCCTGTTTCAGATCTCCATCCAATCTCTGATTCAATCCACAAAGATGTTGCCACGCAAAGTTCTCATTGTACAGGCTGGTCTCACATTCATGAATATCATAGTTCATGTGTGCATCACAGGTTCTTCAACGATCTAATTTCTTAAAGAGCTTGATTAAGATCTTAAATGAAAAGAATTTATCTGGAACCACAACTAGCCTACAGTTCTAATATAAGGTGCACTTTAAATAGGGATATAGAAGGGAGAAGGATGTGAAGGTGGGCTCATTAACCATTCCCCTGGTTGGATGTATGGAGAACCGACCTGGGTTGTTGAGAGCAATTGTGGGTTCTAGAGAGCCTGTGAAGGCGTTAGCAGATATCCAAATCCAAAAACCAAGTTCTAGTTATGCTCACTAGTAGACGTTTTGTGACAACTCAAGCAAGCAAAATGATTAACCTTCCGCCAGACTAGTTTAATGTGTTTCGATGGATGGGGCATAAATGGTGAAAACCTAAATAAGTGCACATCCGTGAGTGCTACAAAATATCAACATAAGTTGCTAGAAGAGGAAAAGTAGTCTGAAATCAAAATGCTATCAATTGTGGTCATCAAGTCCTATTAGACGAATAGGATAACAAAATAGAATTTCCCGTCCATGTCTATCTTGTCTTTACCACGATTCAATTTCCTTTGTTAACAACAAATTGTAGTTTTGCCAATATCTACGAGTTCATTAATGTTCTTTCTCAAGTAACCAACTTCAACTTTACGCAAAATGTCTTAACTTGTTATTGTTGGTGTGGTAGTTGATTAGTGATGAATGACATTATAGTAAAATCAATGATGAAACAATAGAAACAAACTACTAAATTATAGACTAGACTTCACAGTAAAGACAATTAAAGATATGATTGATCAAAATGAGATATCCTCTGCCAGTGAATCATTTAAGTCGGTAAGAGGGAATGGCCAGGGGCAAGCACCAAGAACAAAGTCTACACTCTACAATGGACTAGATTTAAAGCAAAGAAGCATACTTAACTGAAGTTGTCTTAAGCAAATGAAGTTGAAGAAAAAACAACGAAAACAGTGGGTATGAACTCTAATTCCTTAATGCTTCAAGTAAAGTGAAATAAATTTTTGGTACAAGTAAAGCATAACACGTTTCACCTTTCCATGTACAAAACTGTCAAACTTTAACTGCAAAAATATATTCCTTAAACGTCAATGTAACTTCATCCAGCTATTTATGTCTTGGGAGAAGTTTGACTCGAGACAGCAGAAAGAGATTTTCTTTAAATTTGAAAAGAAAAAAGAAAAAAAAAGGACCTCATTCAAAGAAAACAGGTAAAATAAATAAAAGTTCAGTAAACACACAAGATTTTCATACGATATCTAACTTCCAAGAAAAATAAGATAGGAAGTTTTTCTACTCTGATTCCTGAATTTTGTAGCGATGAAGAGTTTGATTTGGTGCCTTCTCGTAGGGATAGCATAAGGATAGAATTCTACTATATACTACTATTTGAACAGATAACTTCATCATTTATTTGAAACTCCAGTATAGAATACCATTTGGTTCTCTACAACTCTTCGATCCAACCAATTTGCAACTTTGTGCAGCCACACTGTAGCCTTCAAATATCACACCATTCATTATGATTCACGAATTCATTTGGTTTCAGTGTGAAACAGAAGTTCCTTAACTTTGTGCTTAAGAATGCTCACATTTTCCAATTATAATTTCACAATCCTCATCAAACTACGAATCCTTGAATATACTAGTTGGGCACCACAGGCAATCTACTTTAATTTTGCTCAGCTATATTAAACTATCCATGATGTGATATAATTATATAAAGCACAGGTCATTACATCATTGAATTTGAAGCAAATACCTTAATCCAACTCAATTAAAATTTTCCATTGGAGCCAAATCAAATTTTCCCCATTGGTCCCCCAAATTCCAAATTAGCATCACACCCCTATACACTCATAATGATACAAAAACACATATTACACATAATTAAAGAATGAGAAATTAAATTAAAAGAAGCTCACATAGATATTGAGTTGGCGAACGAAGCTGGAGAAATTGCTGTGCTTGAAATACTTCGATAACAATTGGGAAGAGAATTTAGAATCATCCCATATGATGAAACTGTCGCTGGATTCGCTCCAAGAAATCAATTCGTTAGTGGAGTCGTCATCAACGATCTCATAGCATTTAACCAGGAAGGGCGGCAAAGATGTCCCATTTTCAATCGATTTCACCATAATTCAAGAAACCCACAAAAAACCACCGCACAAAAGTCAATCTACTCTTCAAGTACGAAAATTTTGAACCCAAAAAAAGAAAAACCACTAAACAAAATTCAATCTACTTTCAAGTTTCAAAATTTTGAATTGACACTTGAGAAATCGTGTGATGTCTGGACACGCATTTACATATGCTTACGCGTATATGTAGATATGTGTATGTTTTCTTGAGGAGGGGGTAAAGAATGAGGAATCTAATAGGAAATAAGGAGGAGATGAAGGGAAAGGAAACACATTGACACAGAGTCTTCGGTTGAATGGGTGCCCAAAGAGCAAAAGGACAAGTTTGGAACTTCACAGGCGGCGGAAAATATCTTTCAACCTTTTGATCCTGCTATATTTTACGTGTGAGCCGAATATAATTAGTCAAAATTCATTTTCTCAATAAAAATTTAAACACGTGAGTGATTATTACAAAGCTATTTATATTTCACTATTAATTAAATAATGCACTAAAACTTATGAAAATATTAATCAGGTATAATCATCAAATGATTCTCTAACGGTCGTATACTTTTCTATTTTATTAATAAAAAATAACAAATTATAAATTGTAGAATAACCGAATTCAACTTGCGATGATGCACCTTATATTTCAAATTACTTATAAGTCTCGTAAAAATTTTATTTTTATTTACTAGTAAAAGATTGATGAAATAAAAAAATATATATGTCAACATTTATAGATCAAGTATCTTGACAACAAACTATCCGCGTTTCTTTCGATAAATTTTAAGAAAAAAACACAAAATAGGCAAGAACGATGAACTTTTTTTTTAATGGAGTACTGGAAATATAAAACATATATCTAACGTAGTCTTGATTTGACACTGAAATTGAGTTCATTATCCAGAAGTATACATAGGAGTTGATAGAAGTTGTTAGATAGTAAATAAATTGTGTAATAGATCAACTGCTAGTGGATCAATTTGTAGGCAAAGGGTTTAGAGCTTCCTCAATGCACTTTATATATTGCAGTTTACTTAGCACATACATAGAAAGACTTCCACCCATGTGGCATTGATGTATAATGAATTGATGATCAAGTTCAAATTTCACATAAGGTTGTCTCTTCTATAATTCAAATTTAGTTAAGAGGTTACAAAAAAGCCAGAGAAAGGAAATACAATTTTTGTAAGTTATCCACTATTGCAGCCGAGATGTTCTTACATGGAAGAAGGCATTAACTTCTCTCAAGTCACAAGGATTACATTATCAAGACCCATTAAATCTATGTCAAAGCAACTTTTCTAAATAGTGAGTTAGAAGAAGAAGTCTACGTAAAACAAGTTGAGGGGTTTGTTTCTCACGAACATGAAGAAAATGTCTGTTACTCATTAATTCCTTGTACGAACTAAATCGAATGTAAAAGGAATGGTGCTAAAATTTTGATAGAATAAAATATGATTGTATGCTTATATGTCAACGACTTGTTGATATGGATAAAAATCATGATGTTATCATGACTACTAAGAAAATATTAACAAAGAATTTCGATATATATATAGTAATTCTTGGGATAATTCTTACACTAATTTCTATTTTTGTGTCCTGTGTATATTCTGCATATTTTACATTTACCATCATTGATTTTTGTTCTCTAATCCATTCATGGATACATTCTTGTTCTACATTCATCTTCTTTATATCTAAAACTGAAAAATCTAATTCTTCTAAACTATCATAACTGTCTTCAAAATTACTCGTTATTTCTAAATTATCTAACTCTTCATCTGTATAAATACTATATAATGACTTACAAGATTCATTATCAGATAATTCTATTATTTTACATTGTATTTCTTCAATTATTATAGATTTAGCTGCATTTTCTTTATTTTTATATTTATTTGGACATTTGTTAGCAAAATGTCTAAGGTTTCCGCAAATATAACATTTACAGTCTTTTTTAGTTTTTGATTTTCTAACTTATCTATTATAATTGGGTCTATTATTTTTATAGTATGTCCTACTTGGTCTAATATTATATTTCTTTTTTATTTTGATATTGCTTTTTATATTTTTATATTTTTATTTATTTTATACAATTTTTTCTTTCTTCTTCTATAATCATGTCTATGGTGTATATAAATCTGAGCAAAAAGAATAATTTAATTTCTTTATTTGGTTTTTAGCTACTTCTTCTACACAATATTCTTTTAATTTATCAGTTATAAATTTTATAGTGGCACTTATAGTTATTTTCCTTGTTGGGTTTGACTCTACATCTTTTCTAATTTTATCACTCCACGGTGGTGCTATCTTTCTATATAATCTTTCAAGTATATGGTAATCTAATGTTAATCCTGCTGCGCTTGCTAATCTTTCAAAATCTAAAAAAAATGGTTGTATGTATTTCATATTACTAATACTTAATTTTTCGAAGTCTTCTAAATCTTTATTTTGTTTATAAGTATTATCTCTACTGAGATCAGAACCTATAATTAATTCTCTAATAAAGTTTGTAAAATTTCTAGGATTATCTTCTCCAGCCATTCTTAATCTAATTTCATCTGGTTTTAGTCTTTTTGCTGTAACGTATACATCTAAAGTAGTCTTTCCTAAATAAATTTCTAAATAAGCCCACATTTCTTCTATAGTCATTTGTATGGGTACACTGTTATATGCTCTAATTACAGAATTTTTCCATTTAGTTATAGTACTATGTCTGTCTTGTGGTTTACAATTATTTAACTCTAAGATTAATCCTCTATCGCTTGCTAACGGTAAACTACATCCTTCTTCCGTTTGTCATTTTTCTAAGCTTTTATATATTTTATCAGTCCATTCAAAGTCTCTTGCAGGGTAAAAAAGATATTTACCCCCTATATCGTATTCCATATTCATGGGTTCTTTTCTTTTTCCAAATTCTTGATCTGTTGCCCTTTTAACGCTCTTGTTATTTTCTTCCCTCTTGGTTTCTCTATCTACTTGATTTTTTTCTATTAACATTCTAGTTTTTATTTCTCTAGTTTTTCTAAGATTTCTATAATATTCAATATCTATATATTCAAATTCTTTTCCATTGTCCTCGCTTTCATCTTCTTCACTTTCTCAATCTAAAGCATTAATTTTGTCTTCACTTTCGTAGTCTTCTATTTCAAAATATCCACATTCTCCTTCATTTTCTTCTTCATTATGATGTGCTGTTCTGCTTGATAATTATAATTTTCAAATCTCATACTTAAAGTTGCATTACTATTTTTGTATATAATATTATTTTCTGGTACTAATATTGATTTTTGTAGAAAATTTCCTAAGTTCTAGTCTAATCCTGCATATGTTTCTGAAGAGAATTTCTTTGTTGGGATAGCCTTTATACATTTTTGTCCTAATAATGTAATTATTTGATTATTTTCTAATTTATAATTAATAGTACTATTTTCACTAAGTCTTCCCATGAATCCTGTGCAAATTATTAAAGTATCCTCATCTCTTTTCATTTGATATCATTTGCTTTTTATTCCTATTTTAATATATTTATAGAAATTCTTTGTTATAACTAAATAGTTTGATGTAAAATATACTATTCTGCCTTTATTATTCATATCTAATTATATGCTTCCTTATAATCCTTGTTCTATATCAGTGAATCTACTATCATATAAACATATTAATACTTTAGCTCATAAATTTTCTCTATGAAGCCCTTTTACTCCTATTATTATTAATCCAAAATGAGTTTGTTGAAGATTTTTATTAACGGTTTCTTTATAAGATTCTTTTTCTATAAAATCTAGAAATGAAAATTGATTTTCATGTGTACAGGAAACATATCTTTCCCCATAATGCTGATATATTAAAGATTTGCTAAATAAATTTCCTTTTTTATATATGTCTAAAACTTTTACTAATTTCAGTTTATTCTGTTTAAACATTGCTATTAAAGATTCTAGTCTTGTTTCAGGTTCTGTTTTTCTACTTAATATTTTTAATAAAGAATTACCTACTAATTTACTACTACTGGCTACGATTTGTTTTCCTTTATCCATTATGTATAGATTCACTTAGTTTTCTTAAATTTATTAGGTTCTTTAGTTTTACCTAAATCTAGTTTTTCTAGTTTATTTATTATATTATCTAAATCTTATATATTATCTGTCGACTTTTCCTTTTATAATGCTTTAACTATGCTGTCCAATTTTTCTAAGTTAGGACTAGATTTTGTTTCCCATGTGTTATTAAATTTTCTTTTTAATATTTCGGTATTTAGATTTTTAATATATACTAGATTAGTTTCTAAATTCTTTATATTTTTATTTATATTTTCTAATAAAATTTCTACCCTTTTATTTGAATTGTTCCTTTCTAGATTTTTTCCTAAATTACAAGTAAGTCTACAATAATATTTAACTGTTTATCTTCACTATGTAAAGTATGTCTAAACTTATTATCAAAATTACAGATTAGAGAAGTCGCTTCTAAGTTATCTTTTCTTTTATAGTTTCTTAAAATTTCTAAATTTAAATACTCGATTCTTTTCATAAACTATATAATTTTTTACTGTTATAGGCTCTCATACCAATTCTTGGGCTACCAATTCGGGGGATTCTAGTATAAGAAAACCCCTAAAAAAGTCTTAACAAAATTGAAAACGTCTTTAATGAAAATGACAAAGTCTACAAAATTTACGTAAATCTTCCTACCAAAAATTTGAAAAAAAAATTCTTTAACTAATATAAAAATGACTTGCTTTTCAAAAGTTTCTCTTTCTAATAAATATAAAGAGGACTTTTTAATAAGGTCTTTCTCTTAAAATTTTTACACGTTTTGAAATACAAATTTCTTCATACCAATAAATATTTTTTAGAGAAAATCTACTAATTTGGTAAGATTTTCTACACTTAATAATTCGTTTTAAAAAGTCTGCACTTTAAATTACTATGACCAAGAGTATATAAGTATATTTCTATTGTCTTTGCTACTAAAGGCCTATTGCTAAAAAAAATGTCTAACTAGTTTTACTAAAATTTCTTTTATTATTTTCTCTTATAATCTTTGCTCGTTATTGTCTTTCTTTACAATCTTTAAGATCTTCTATAAAAAAACTCTGACACTAAGAGATAGAGAGCTCAGTAATTTGCTTCTTGATCAGTAAAAAAAGGTCACTTCTATTTCTATCTAGAGTGGATAAAATATGGCTTCGTACAACGACTAATCTTCCTATCTCTCTATTTTCTAGACAAATATTAATATATTCGTTAAAACTTTCCAATGAACAAGTAAGTAAGGCAGTGTAATTTAAAAGCATAAAATATTAAAACTTAAAAACGATATGTTTGTAATGAC